TGCCGGCCAGCTACTGGTGGGCGGTCATCTCCATGACCACGGTGGGCTACGGCGACATGGTGCCCCGCAGCGTGCCCGGACAAGTGGTGGCGCTGAGCAGTATCCTCAGCGGCATCCTGCTCATGGCCTTCCCGGTCACCTCTATCTTCCACACCTTCTCGCGCTCCTACTCGGAGCTCAAAGAGCAGCAACAGCGCGCCGCCAGCCCCGAGCCGGCCCTGCGCGAAGACAGCACGCGCTCCGCCAGCGCCACGGAGGACAGCTCGCAAGATCCCGAAGGCTCAGGCGAGACTGGGGACTCAGCGGACCTCGCATGGGCGCGCACAGGGCCAGCCTGACCTGGGCGGACACCCTGTGCTCAGGGGCGGCCGTGCTGTCCATCACAGGAGGCTGCCCGTCACAAGCTTTAGAAACAGAACTACAGCCCTGGCCTCCCACTGCGCAGAGGGACAGGAACTGACCTTAGGGGCAGCTGCTCCCAAAGCCCTAAGGGGCCTCGCTCCTGTTGGCGCGTATCTGGTCCAAGTGCATGTTGCTGCGACCAGTGAGGCCCAGAACTCGGCCTAGGAGTCGGAGGTGATGTTAAAAGCCAACCTGTGCTTTGAGCAAATTTCCCAGAGGGCACCCCATCCTGTCCTCCTTCCTTTTATTTCCCTTTGGAGTTCTGACTCTGTGGCTAGCTAAAAATAAATTCAAGAAGTCCCAGAACGTCCAGCCTGTAGCAATACCAGAAGGTCACACTGTCCCCAGACCTCAGCCTAACCCTTCCCTGCTATTCAGCCCGAAGGTCCCAGGAGCAGTGGGGGGAGGGGGGCGCAGTGGGGCACAGTCCTGGGGGAGGAGTTTCCAGGGGAGGGGGGCCAGCCCCTTCCTGCTCCAGCCATCTCACCCAGGTGGGCTATGCCCCAGGGGAGGAAGGCCTTCCCCATGCACCCAGCTCTGCAGAAGCCCACGTCCCTGCCATGTGATAGGCACAGAGGTCTCACATGGAGACTCACAGCCCACCAGGTCCTTTGGGGGTCCAGCACTGACCTCTGACCTCTTTCCCTGGCACTATCCTGTGGGCCTCTTCCTAGGTCTCCCCCTCACAGTTCTCCTCTGAAACGCCTCCGTCCTCTCAGCTGCCTGGGGACCAGGTGCTATCCTCTGGGATGGTCGACTCCTGTAGGAACTTCTCTGGCGGTTCAGGAGGGGTGGGGGCGGAGGGCCTAGGCCTGCAGGTGCTAGAAGCCTGTTTTCATGGAGGCGTGAACCTTTTCTCCTCTGGAGACAGAAGAATGGAACTCTCCCAATTATGCTGCTTTGCACTTTTTCATTTTAATCAGTTGAGCCATGACACCTGGAACATCGCTGCCACAGACCCTGCCGGAGGAGCTGCATCACTCAAGAGGCCCCACTGATGCAGGGCATCCATCCACCACCATCCCTTCCAGCTTTGGGCACGGTCCCTGGTGGAAGACCGAGCCAGGGGAGGTGGGGGGCAGGGGCAGGACCAGGATAGGGCCTCCCGCAGAATTTCCCTGTTATGCTACTACAGTTAATAAAAGTGCCACCTCTCCTGCACCACTCGCTCATATCATGTGGGGAAATGGAGCGCCCAGGGTGACCAGGTGGATTCGACACCTGGCCCGACACCTGTTGCCCCACCTGTGTGCACAGCCAGACATGCCCACCTCCCTAGTCAGGCATCTACCCTAGATCATGCGGGTCATTGTCCTTGAGGCTGGTCTGTTCCAGGGGAGCCTGTCCCACAGTATAGGGGCGAGCACTGGGCCCTGGGACGGATGTCAGTCCAGCCCAGGGAACATGGACACTTCTGGGCAGAGGCCAGTGCTTAGGGCTGGACCTCCCCTGGAGACCCCAGAGGTGAAATAATAACACAGGACCAATTATTCACTGTGCCTTGGGCCCCACACGGACTCCATTCACGAGGCCATGCTTGGTCCTCGAGCAGTTTATTGATTTAAAGTCGCTGTATAGACTGAACCCTGAGCGTCCCCACACATGGCACATTCCGTCAGCACTACAGTCATTGATATTTTAATTTAGAGGCAACTACTGCTACAGACATCTCCCTTCATTTTTAAAAAATAAGTGTTTTAAAGCATCTTACAGGCCAAAGAACTAAGCAGAATCCTCAAACATTCAGGAGTTTTTGAGGAAAACTCGGGAAGAGGAAACAGCTTCAAACGCTTCTCACCAGCCACCGCAGACACCTCAAGAGCTTTGGCACCAGCCACAGACAGTGCTGATAATGCACAGAGAGCCACCCCTCCACCCAGCAGAAGGGAAAACAGTGCCTGCGGGAGCCACACGGGAGCATCTGGAACACTTGGCCTTTGGGAGCTTGCGAGCTGGTGCAGGGCTGGCCTGGCTGAGATGCTCATGTAATACTGAAAGGGGAACAAATGTGGGGACTAGTGTCAGACCAGTGACCTCACCACCGCCACACGCAGCGAACATGGAGAACCATGCGGACGGGAGACGGCGGGCAGGGATGCCCATGCCAGGCCACCCCATCACCCTGGAAGGTCACTTCAGGCCCATCAGCTCATTGTGTGGGGGGTGGGGCTGCTCAGCGTGTCCCCGTCCTGGAAGATGAACATCACAGCCACCCTGGAAGGTCACTTCAGGCCCATCAGCTCGTTGTGTTGGGGGTGGGGCTGCTCAGCTCAGCGTGTCCCCGTCCTGGAAGATGAACATCACAGACTGTGCTGCACATGTGCGCACTTCCCAGGAAAAGGGGAAAAAAGCCACGCGCAGCCCGCTTGGCCCACATGGGCGCTCGCACCCTGCCATACCCTATAGGACTCATGGAGAGAACTCCAGACTCTGGTTCCGACACCCCTGAGCTTGCTCTGGCCAGTGCCCAACTGGCACGGACATGGGCTTGTCCCCTCGCCCCCAGTGGGAGGAGGCCAGTGTAACAACAAGGCCTCTGGACCCCCTACCGAGCCCAGGCAAGGGCTGAGTCCTGAGTACCTACGAGGAGGCCGCACTGAAGGTGCCCAGGCAAGGCCACTCCAGCCAGATAGACCAGGACATAGGTCATGTGTGTTGGTGTGGCTTCCCTTCCACGTGGACACAAGATCCGGGCCACATGCTCTGTGCCCGGCCCATCCTGGCACAGGGTGCCCCCACCGCATGCCGTCCAGCAGCACGTCCATCCTCAGCTGTTCTGACCATGGGCCCTGAGGTGCTGGGCCCCAAGCGCTCCCAATGCTGGTTCTCATTCTGCACCCCGGGCCCGGGTTGACGGGACACGTCCAGGCTGAGACACAGAGAAGCCTCCCCACGACCTGTCCTGCAGAGGCCTGCTCCGCCGTCTCCCGGGTTTGCGAGCGTCTCCCAGGTTCCGCAGGTGCCCTGAGAGCAAGTGAGAGCGAGACCTGCTTTTCCATCACCTTGAAAACATCCACAGCCCCGCCTGTAGGGGTGAGGCTGTTCTCCAGCGAGTGAGTGCAGACACGGCACTCAGGCCCACCTGTCCACCGTCCCAGGGGCCCACGCAGGACGACAGGTGGCCAGCGGTGCCTGCAGCCGGCGGTCATATGTCTTTGTCCTCCTGGCTGCCTCAGAGGGCCTTGGCACTGGTGGAGTGCACTGCGTGGGGGGTGGGCTTCGGGGGGTGGCGGGAGAATGCGTAGGCCTGCGCCAGGATGGCCAGGTCCACCATCACCTGCAGCAGGCCGCACACGGAGAACTGCAGAGGGGCACCGTTCAGCAGGAAGTATGCCATCTTGAAGGTGTCACCACTTGTCCACATGAGCACCATCTTGATGCTGTGGAGACACAAGCCAGGGTCAGGGGGCCAGCCAAGGTCAGGGGCACCCGGGCCCCAGCCTGTCCCTCCCAGCCCTCCCACCCTCGCTGTGAGCTCACTGTGTGTGTGGGCACAAGGACAGAAGGCCCTTCAGCTAGAGGACCCTCAACCTCTGGGCAGGGACAGGGCCGGCACAGGGCAGGCCCACAATCTCACTGTCCTTCCTGGCTGCAGACGCACCTGCTGTGGGCCCCTGGGGAGACGAGGGAGGGAAGACCACCACCTGCTCCAGGGGCCAGCCTGGCAGGGGCAGCAGCACCCAAGAACTTCAGGAGAGCGGCCCTCAGCCACAGGGACCCAAAGAACTGGCATCGAAGGTCGTGGCTCCCGCCTGGCTGTGCCCTGTGAGCTGCAGGAGGAGCCTGGCTGGGAGGGGGCGGCCCTCTCACCTGGAGCTCCTCTACCCTGGCCCATGGAGCCCCCGGCCAGCACCTGGTCCATAGCTGTGGCAGAAAGTGCATGGATGGAATGATCCCAAAGGTGCAGTGTCAGACACCCTAGGAGGAACCTGCACAGCACCCCACCCTTCACATCTGCTTTGTCCACACTGAAATCAAAGTAGAGAACGAGAGCACAGCACCCAGTCCCCACCGCAAACCGTTAATGCTGGACTTTTCCTCCACAGAAACACACTCCCCCTTATCGACTCCGACACCCCGCTACACCACTTCGCAATCTGCAGGTGTGCTGACTGCTGCGTGCACAGGTAGCACGCTCAGTTTTATGGGAAGTGCGTTCTGCAAACATCAGTACAAAGACACATCTGCATTTATCTCTCCTTAGGTCTCCAGCTAACTCTGGCTTGTAATTCTTTTCCCAAAGTTGGGCAAAGTTGGGCTCACACTGGGGCCACTGACATGCTGGGGCACCATCGGGGAGGGGCGGGAGCTCATCCCTCAAATGCAAATGGAAGCAAGTGCTGGGCTCTCAGCTCCTAAGAGCCACCAGCCGCAGCCCTGGCCAGACAGTCAGGGGCCAGAAAGGGGGCATGCTGTGACCTGAGCCAGACCTGACAGGGGCCGGGTTTGCTCAACAACTAAAACTGAGGCTCCCAGGAAAAAGGCAGCCACCCATCGGCGCCCTCACGCGTACGTGCCGAGCACTGCCCTGAACAAGACAAGGTGGGCTACATGGCTCCCTTTTCACAGGAAACTGAGGCACAGACAGGTTTAGCGACGTGCCTGGCGGTACACAGCTAGTGCTTCTGGAGGGGTAGAGGGGGCAGCGCACAAAGCTGGAGGGGTCCCAGGACCACCTGTCACTGTCCTGGGGCTGCCTGCCTGGTGCCGGGTGGTGCCTCTGGGCCCTGAACGCACAGGTGCACTCCTCACCCAGGCAAGTGCAGACGTGAGGTCATCGCTGGGGCTGGGCTCTGTCTGACACACAGGGACATTTTTAGCTGCCCAGACGCCTCACCTGGCCTCAGCCCTCAGTCAGCCACTGCGTGGGGACAGGAACCCAACGCCTTGCAGAGGCCCCTGGACCAGCTGCCCACGCAAGGGCTCAGGAAGGACAGGGGCACAGCAGCCAGTCAAATATTAACGAAGTTCCTCCTGCCGGGGTCCCTGAGAATCTGTTCAGCAGGGACTTTCACTAAGCCATGAATTCTGCTCTTTCTGACGCGGGCGTTATGTAACCCCTGCCCTCAGTGATAGTGTGGATGGATGGATGGATGGATGGATGGATGGGCAAGCCTCAGAGGCTCTTCTCTCACTGCTCAGCATGCCAAGGATGTCCTAATGGGCACTAAGTCCAGATCTGGCCACTGCAAGCGGTTGTGTTTGGCCTTGTCCTGGGCATAGGAGTTCCACCCAAGGAAGCCCCCTCCAGGGAGGAAATAAAACCACCGCAGGTTCCGACAGTGCGGGAAGCCCACCCCAAGCACAGAGAACCTTGCAGAGGGGGCCAGTGTGCTTGGGAGGGGGAACTGTCACCTTCCGGGCCCAGGCTGTTTTCCCAGCTCAGGCTGGTGACCTGGGAGCTGGACTCTCTTGTCTAGTTCCCCTCATAACGTCCCCAACTCCAGCTGCTGGATCCTGCACCTGACCCTCCCCTCCCCCACCCACCATTTTAATCCCTGCTCCCATGACCTCATTCTTGACCCCCATTTTGCCTCAACTGGGCTGCCAGATCACTATTCTTAAAATACCTCTCGCCTCATCTATGGCCTGTCCAGCAGCCAAGATAGCGCCTCCCAGACCAGTGCCCAGGAGATGAAAGCCAGACGCCTGCACCTGTCCCAGCTTCCTCACAGGCGCCTTCGGCTCATGCCCACCTCCCAGGGGCCTCGCCTTCCGCTCCTTGCCACCCATCAAGAGCTCTCCCAACATTGAAAACCCGCCCAACACATGTCCCAAAGGAGGTCTTTGTGACCCTGGGTTACACAGTGGGCTCTTGGATTGAAACCTTTGGTGCTGCAAAGGAAAACATCAAGAAAGTGCAAAGATGATCTTCAGGATAAGAGAAAGTATCTGCAAATCGTGTATCTGACAAGGTTCTAGTATCCAGAAAAATCTAAGGAACTCTATGACTCAATAATAAAAAGACAAAGGGCCAACTTTTAAAACAGGCAAAGGATCTGAATAGACCTTTCTCCAAAGTCGCATAAATGTCCAATAATCACATGAAAAGGCTCTCGGCATCCTTAGTCGTTGGGGAAATGCAAATGAAAAATGCATAACCACAATGAGCCCCAGGCACTGGAACGGCCAGAATGAAACGTGAGTGGGAATGAGGTTGTGAAGGTGGGGAGAGACCAGAACCCCACCCACAGCTGAGCTGGCGGGGATGTCAGACAGTACAGCCACTGTGGAAAACAGTCTGGCAGATCCTCCAATGACTGTTACACAGAGTTACCGTGGGACCCAGCAGTCCCAGTCCTGGGTGTATCCCAAGAGAAAGGAACACGCTTGTCCACACAAAAACGTGTACACGAATGCTCACAGAAGCATTATTCAAACAGCCAACAGGTGGACACAACCCAGAAGTCCATCACTGGAGATGGACAAGCACAGTGTGGTCCGTCCATGCAGGGGAATATTATTCAACCTCAGAATGGAATGCAGCACTGAAACATCGAACATGGGCGTCATTTTGCAAACGGGTGGACGCGGACACAAAGACCAAGCTCTGTGTGATTCTGATCATATGAAGTGTCTGGAACAGATGAACCTACACAGACAGATCATGGTGGCCTAGGCTGGGGGAGGGAGGTTTGGGAGCAAATGAGGGTTGATTCCTAATGGATACAATATTTCTTCCTGGGGTGATGGAAATGTCCTAAAATTAGACTGTGGGGACGGCTGCACAACTCTGTGAAGATACTAAAATCCATTAAATTGTACACTTTAAATTGTATGGTGAGTTATATCTCAATAATTTTTAAAGAGTTCCAGGGCTTTTGCTGAACTCTAATTATTCCAGCCCTCCTCTTTATTGGGCTGCTGACTGGGCTGTGTGTGTGTGTGTGCATGTAGTGTGTGGTGCACACCCTTAACCACACACATGTGTAGAGCATCCCCACTCACCTGGCCTATTATGTGTCAAGGAGGAATAAAGATATACGCCTGGGGGCAGAGAGGTAAGGCAGACAGGGCCTCGCCCCAGGAGACCTGTTCCATTTCCCAGGCAGCAAGACTCCAAGCTGCTGGCTCCAGGGTTCAAGGGCAGTGCAGCAAGACCAAGTGAGCCGGTTCCCAGAAATTTCATTAATTAGAAGGTGAACCAAATACTAGAACTAAAACTAAAAATAGACAAATCCACAATTATAGTTGGAGACTTCAACATCCCTCTCTCAACAAGTGATAGAAAAACTAGGCAGGAAAGCAGCAATCAGAACTTAACAACATCAACACAAATAATCTAATAAATATTTAGCGAACAGCCCAGCTAGCGTGGCTCAGTGGTTGAGCATTGACCTATGAACCAGGAGGTCACGGTTTGATTCCCTGTCAGGGCACATGCCTGGGTTGCAGGCTTGATCCCCAGTAGGGAGCATTCAGGAGGCAGCCAATCAATGATAGAGAATCACTGATGTTTCTCTCTCTCTCTCCCTCTCCCTTCTTCTCTGAAATCAATAAAAAAAATTTTTAATTAAAAATAAATTTAAGAGAATTATAATCATACAGAGTGTGTTCTCTAAACATAATGGAATAAAATTAGAAATAAATAATGGAAAGACAAAAAAACCTCTAACCACATGGATATTTTACAACACACTTCTAAAGAATCTATAGATCAAAGGGAAAGTCTTGAAATAAACATATGCATAGCTATGCATAGTTATGAATGGTGAAAATAAAAATAAAACATCAAAGTTTGTGAGGCACAGCTAAGGCAGTAATGAGAGGTTATTTATAGCATTAAATGCTTACATTAGGAAAAAGAAAGTCTTATATTAATAAATTAAATAAAAATAAGAGCAAATATCCATGCAATGTAAAACAGAAAAGTCAACAAAACAAAGAGCTGATTCTTTGAAAAGATCAATAAAATTGACAAACTTCTAGAAAGAGATATATATATAGGGGTGGGCAGAAGTAGATTTACAAATAATACAAGTAAATAATACAATAATTAATAAATAATAATATGAGGATAAAGTCTGTGTTCCACATGTTAGCAACTATAAACCTACGTTTGCCAACCTCTATAAATTACCAGTAATGGAACAGAGGGCATATCTGCAACATCAAGAAGACAAGAAGGGAATATTATGACCAACTCTACATACTTAAATTTGATCACATGGACTAAATGTAGCAATTCCTCAACAAGTCTAAACTACCACAGCTCACCCAATATGAAATAGATCATTTGAATAACCCTATAACTCTTAAAGAAATTGAATCCATAATTTAAACACTCCTCAAAAAGAAATATCCAGGTCCTGATGATTTCATCGAAGAATTCTAGTACATGCTTAAAAAGATTAACACCAATTTTGCACTATTTCTCCCAGAAAATAGAAGACATGCCAATTCATTTTATGAAGATAGTGTTCTCTTAATACCAAAGCCAAAAAAGTACCAGAAAAAGAAAAAGAAAAACTACAGGCCAATATCCCTCATGAATGCAGACATAAAAATCCTTGAAGTATCAGCAAGTAGAAATTAGCAATTTATTTATTTATTTTTTGTTTGTTTGTACATTGTGACTAAGGGAACTTTATTCAAGGGATGCAAGGCTAGCTCAGTATTTGAAAATCATCAATATAATTATGATTGGCTAAAGAAGAAAAATCACATGATCATATCAATCAATGCAGAAAAGGCATTTGACAAAACTCAACACTCATTTAATATAAAAACTTGAAGAAAAACAGGACTAGAGAACTTTCTACACCTAGCATTATACCTAACGGTGAAATACTGAATGCTTTCTCCTTATGATTGGGAAAAACACCTCACCCACTATCACTGCTCTTGTTAAACACAGTGCTGGATATTCTAGTTAGTGCAAGAAGGCAAGAAAAGGAAATAAAAAGCACACAGACCAGAAAGGTAGATATAAAACCATCCCCATTTATATATAACTAGAGGCCCGGTGCACGGATTCATGCACATTGAAAGGAAATTAATTAGAAGGTGGCCAGCAGGGCGGGACTGGGCGAGACAAGCCAGACATGCCCTGGAGCCAACCTCCCGTGGTCCTTCCCCAGCCGGCTGCATCTGGGACGGTGCCAGGGCTCGAAGAGCATCTGTGGAGTGACTGGGGTCCCTCTGGCAGGTGGGGTCCCTCAGCCTGCCCTGTGGGGATCAGGCCAAAACCAGCTCTCTGACATCCCCCGAGGGGTCCCGGAGTGCAAGAGGTTACTCTGCAAAGTTGCTGTCACTTGGCAGCTCCTGTGTTGAGCATCTGTCCACTGGTGGTCAGTGCGAGACATAGCTACCGGCAGGTCGGCCGATCAGCCAGTCACTTAGCCTTTTATATATATAGATTGTTTACATAGAAAAATCCAAGATCTATAAGAAAACTCCTAAAAATAATGAGTTCAGCCCTGGCTGGATGGCTCAGTTGGTTGAAGCATCATCCCATACACCAAAAGGTTGTGGGTTCAATTCCCAGTCAGGTCACATACCTAGGTGGTGGGTTCAATACCCAGTCAGGGCATATATGGGAGGCAATCGATGAATATTTCTCTCTCACATCGATATGTTTCTCTCTCTCCCTCTCCCACTTCCTCTCTCTCTAAAAACAAGCATTATAAGCATGTCCTTGGGTGAGGATAAAAATAAATACATATATACATACATCCTATATAATAAAAGCCTAATATGCTAAGTGTCCGGTCAGCTGTTCAACCAATCAAAGCATAATATGCTAATGATATGCTAAGGCCTCTCAATCGCGCGCTATGATGTGCACTGACCACCAGGGGCAGACAGTCGACCAGTAGCTATGACATGCACTGACCACCAGGGGATAAGGAGGTTAGCTTGCTGCTGGGGTCTGGCCAATCAAGACTGAGTGAGACGGGCTGGACACTCCCTGGAGCCCTCCCACAGTCCCTCCTCAGCTGGCCAACCTCCCACATCCCTCCCCGGCCCCAATCATGCACCGGTGGGGTCTCTCGGCCTGGCCTGCGCCCTTTTGCAATCTGGGACACCTCAGGGGATGTCGGAGAGCTGGTTTTGGCCTGATCCCGCAGGTCAGGTTGAGGGACCCCACTGGTGCACGAATTCGTGCACTGGGCCTCTAGTACATACATAAAATAATGAGTTCAGCAAGGTGAATGATACAAGAGAAACATACAAATTAACTGCATTTCTATACACTAGCAAGCAAATGGAAAATGAAATTTAAAATGTAATACCAATTACAGTTGCTCAAAAGCAAATGAAATACTTTGGTGTAAATTTAACACATGTTCTGGACTTGGATCCTGAGAGTGCATCTCATGACACACCCCACCAATGGCTGCACACCTCTGCTACTGTGAGCAGAGTCTGCTGCCCTCATCCCTATTCCACACTCAGCCCTCCCTCCCACTCCGAAGCTTCAGGCTCAACAATGCAGGAGGAGCAGCTCTCCGATCCCGTCACCTGTTTCCTGTTCAGGGGAGGGTCTCGGCTTCTCACCTGTCGCACACAAGCACAATGCTCACGCATCAAGAGGTCAGTGGATCAGCCCTAGCCGGCTTGGCTCAGTGGATAGAGCGTCAGCCTGCGGAGTGAAGGGTCTCAGGTTCGATTCCAGCCAATGGCACATACCTGGGCTTCGGGCTCAATCCCTAGTAGGGGGCATGCAGGAGGCAGCCGATCAATGATCCTCTCTCATCATTGATGTTTCTCTCTCTCCCCTCTCCCTTCCTCTCTGAAATCAATAAAGAAATATATTATTAAAAAAAAAAAAGAGGTCAGTGGATCAATGTGTTTAAACCTAAACTGCTCTCTAACTGGCTGTTTCACAAATGTAACTGAACACAAAGCAGCCAGATTTGTACCCATTTGACTTTTACCGAACATATGTGCACCTGGTGCCAATGGGGACAGCAACAGTGACGTGCCCACCCACCTCATGCCCTCCGTGGACTGGTAGCGGTGGTTGCGGTACAGCTGCGGCACGCCCAGCATGGCCTCGGTCAGCACGGCCAGGAAGCCCAGGGTCTCCACGAACAGGGCTGAGTCGATGGACAGGTATGTGATGTAGCCTGCGATGCCCGTGAAGGCCAGGACACACTGCAGGTAGTCCGCAAAGCTGCTCCAGTGCCAGAAGTGGTGAGGGTCAAAGTCTAGAGGGAGAGAGACGTGAACCAGACTTCAGGTCAAGGTCAGTGTGAGGAGAAGGATATGAAATGAATGAGGAGATGAAGGTCAGTGTGACCAGCAAGATGTGAACTAGGTGAGGAGGTCAAGATCACCATGAGGCCCCGCCGGCGTGGCTCAGTGATTGAGCATCGACCTATGAACCAGAAGGTCACAGGTTCAATTCCCAGTCAGGGCACATGCCTGGGTTGGGGGCACAATCCCCAGTGTGGGACTTGCAGGAGGTAGCCAATCAATGGTTCTCTCTCATCATTGGTGTTCCTATCCCTCTCTCCCTCTCCCTTCCTTTCTGAAATCAATAAAAGTATATTAAAAATAAAAGATCACCATGAGGAAGATGAATGTGAGCTATGAGGATCCAACTGCTCTGGACCAAGGAACTTCTGAGGAAGACTTCATACAGATATTAACTCAGCATAAAGGATGCTAAACCTGGAACTCATCCTAAAATAGTACTGATACTCAGATGGTGCAGGATCACTCCAGAACCTCTGGAATCTCTTTCCTGGGTTAGAATACCCACTCTTCCCCTCCACAACTTTAGATTAATCATGTGTCTCCATTTCTTTAGATGTAGAAGAGGAATAATGTTACCGAGCAATTTGGGTTGTTTTAATGATTAAAGTAGTTAATCTTCTGAATCTTATAAAGTGTCCAGCCCCTAATAAAGGTCCTGCAAAGATATATAATTATTATCACTACATCCTGAGTTGATAGAATATTACCATTTGCTCGACAAATGTGTCCTGCAGAAACCAAATGTGGAAGAACTCACAGAAATCAAAAATTACATTTAGTTTATGGGCTGTGGCAGGTCCTGGGGACAGAGGCAGCTTCAGGGACAGTCAGGGAAGTGGAGGGGTGTGATGCGCCCAAGCCTGACCCGGCCCTTTGGTTTGCAGAGTCTGGAGCCAGGGCACCTCGCCAGCAAAAAGGCCCAGCAAGGGCTGCACGGGTGGGCGAGGACATGAGGTGCCAGGACTGCCCGTCCCGGAAGCTAGGAAGAGCTGGAAGAGGGCGTCTAAGCTGCACATGTACCATGTGTCCCAGGAGGCACTCAGCCGGGAAACAGGAGAAACGGAGCCAACGACACCCAAGTTGTCTCACCACTAACTGCATCACAAACACGTGGAACCCACGTCCGCCATAAACCACACGCTCCAAGCCACACCAGCCTGGGCCATTCCTACACACGAGAGAACAGCCTTCCTTCTGGATACTCGCCTCCAGGGCAGGGACCCCTCGCTGAAGGCACCCCCTTCACCTGCCTCTGAAAGGCATCTGTTCTTCCTCAGGATGACCTCGGGCCACCTGGGACCCCATGTCTGAGGACGCCTGCTGCCCCCCCCCCCCCCCCCCCCCCCCGCCCCCAGGAGGATGAGGAGGTCTCGTTGGAGAAGGTTCTCAGGGACACATTTGTCACTACCCAGCAGCTGGGACCTCGAAGGCGCAGAGCTATTTTCCACACCAAAGGGCTCCAGAATTAGAGACCGTTCCATCCCGACGAAGGAAGAGGTCCCTCAGAAGCTCAGACACTCATCCTGACGACAGTGCAGCTGGCAGAGCTGAGCCCTGGGCCAGGGTTCATGGGGGCATCTACTCTGACCATCCCCAAAGGGACAGTCATGTCCCTCAAAACCAGCCCCACGTGGCAGCCCACCGTGAACAGGTGGTCTGGGGATGAGACACCCGGCTCCTGGGTCCTTGGCCGGCCCCTCACGGGCTCAGACCCCATGCCGGCATCGGGCAGGCCGCTCACACCTAGCCTCTCATTCCTCCTTTAACAGAGGGAGAGTGGGGGCCTCAAAGTCAGGCAATAGGCCCCCCACACCCCAGGATGCCATCTGAGATCATCACTGAGCACCTCTCTAAATGGACAACAAGACCGCGTGGCAGGGCTGGCCGTGCCCTTGGGGGCCGAGACCCAGGATGGGGTGGGAAAGGGGCACATCTGGGGACCATTCCTTCCTGAGCCCCTGGCCCCGCCCCTCTAGCTGAGCCATCGGTGTCTCTCTCCATCTGGGAGGCCCATCTGCAGGTGCGCGCCCCCTCTCCAGAGGGCTCCTATGTCAGCACCTGGAACCCAACAACCCAAATGTGGGGGACACTGAGGCAGAGCCACTGGCCAGAAGGGACACACAGGATTTGAACCTGAACCCTGATGCACTGCCCCTGCAGATCCAAGGATGAGAGGACCGTGTACGGTGCCCCGCCCAGCCGTGGGACCTCCCTGAGCCTCAGGATGGCAGCGCCCGCCCCGCCCCCAGGGGCCCTGTGGAGGCTGTGTTGTCACATAATTCAGATGGAGGTCGGGACCCTCGCACAGCCCTCAACAGCAATCCCTGCCCACACACCTCAGCCTCTCTGAAGGGGCCACCAGGCAGGTGCTGGGTCCCCAGGCAGTAGTGTGACCCCTGCAGACCGAGGGGCCCCCAGACGCTGTGTAAGGGCAGGGAGGACAACACAGCACGAAGCCCGTCCCTCAGAACAGCAGCTGGGTGTCAGTACTGGTCAGCTGAGGGCCAGCGTGTCTCTGCTCGACATGCACCCCAAGCTGATGGGAGCGACAGAGCCCCGGCCGCTCCGCACCAACAGGCAGGGGCAGAAGAAAACCCGTCCACAGAAGCTCCTGGCCTCCCAGGTGGTTTCCGGTGGCTCATCCTCGTTACAGCTTCAGGATTTAAACCCACTGATGACACAGGTTATGCAACCGCTGGGCTCCAGACCAGGCAGCCCACCAGCACCCCCGTGTGGCCTGTCCCCATCAGTTCAGGCAAAGTCTTTCCAGCTCAGAGAATGACATCCCTCCAGTGGTCCAACCCTGGTCACTGACAGAAAAGGTGTGGCTGTCCCACAGTGGGGCCTCCACGTGCCCCACTTTCGCAGCAAGAACCCCCTCAGGCATCCCTGCTCTCACAAGACCCCACGTGCCCCTATAGGTGCTGAGAGTGCAGAGGGCTCAGGCCCCCACAGCCGCCCCCTCTCTCACAGAAGCTGCCTGTGCACTCTGAGCCCCTGTGCCCTCCTAGCCCAGCTGGCCCCCAGGCGCCTGGAAACTAAGGGGAAGCTGCGAGTGCTGAGGGCTGTCCTGAAAAGGCCACCAGAGAGGGACTCCCACACCAGGCTCCACGGCTCCAAGTCGCCTCTCAGGATTGGGACCAATCATTAGGGCAGGCCATCTGGTAACCACGTGGCCAGCAGCTCTCTCTTAATCAGGGTCACACCCAGGGAGGAGGACAGGCACTGGCTCCAGGAGGGCCTCCCATCACTGCCCCATGACCCCACGCCTCCTGTGGCAGCTGTGACACTCACACCTGCGACACGAGATAAGCAGGGCCCCGTGCCAGTGTGAGCCAGCCCGCCTCCCGGAACTTGCCCCGTGTCTCAGCTGTGAGTCTGAGGATGCGGAGGAAGAAGAGCTCCAGTCAGTCCTGAGTGCCTGGACCCTCACAGAGGCGAGCCCACACCCACCCTGAACCTACACACACCTGGCACGCCACCACCCGTGGGAGCTACCTGCCGACCCCGATAAAAACCACGGGGAATTCCTGTGGTGAGGTGGGAGCAGCAAAAAATAATCCAAGTCCACTTCTCTGGGGAATCCGCACGGAAGGCACGGCAGGGAAGAGGGACCGGGAAGCCCAGAGTGATGGGACAGAGGGAGCCCAGGCTGGTTAAGGAGGAGGCCGCGTCACACCTCAGTCCTGGTGGCCAGGACTGCAGACCGCACGTAAGCCACCCGTCCCGGGCCCACGGCAGCAGCAAGGACTCCCACATTCCCACTGTCGGTGCTCAAACCCACAGGGAGAGACAGGTGAACCTCCTAGTTAGGCAGTTCAGGATGGAAGCAAGAGGGCACTGGAGGGTCTTGGCAAAGGGTCACCACAGCTGCGGAAATTAACTAAACATCGGGGATCCTGGAAACCTGAACAATCACCTTCCAAAGTGACAGCCAGGGGAAGTCTCCCGACCTGGAACCAAGGGAAACATCTCGTGTGTGCAAACCCCAGGCCCAGTTCAGACGCGCCTCTGACAGCCGCCTGCCTCCCCTGGCGGACTCGGCGAGCAGAGCACAGGGCGCTGACCCGCGAGGGCACTGAGTGCTGACGAGGCTGCTGGGCACACGTGCTCTGAGGGCAGAACACGCCCCTGACCTCAAAGGCTTGATGCGGAAAAGACAGAAAATATCCTGTTAATAATTGTTAGAGTGGTTACAGGATCACGTGAAAGTATTTTGGTAAAAAGCAGATTAACGGTAATTCACCAGTTTCTTTTCACTTTTCTAAGGTGCTGCCTGGAAACCACGCACATGGCTGGCTTCCTGGCTGGCACTGCATCTCCACTGGGCAGTGTTGTCCAGCGTTAATGAGGCGCCGACCGGCCAGCCCAGAGCTCTGCCCAGGTCATCTGGAAATCCAGGATTTGTAAATGAGGAAGTGCAAGGGCGGGTCTGACGGGACCCTTTCCTAAGGAGAAGCCATGAACCTGCTGGGGCCACAGCGGCGCCGTACCGGCTGCTCTGGTGGGACATTCAGTGTGGTTACAGAGTGCAGTCCCCGCTTTTAAGAAACAGGCACTAAGTATTTGGATGTCATCAGCATGGAGTCAGAACAGAAAACCAACCGAGAAAATCACCACCACCAACGTTGGTTCTTTGAAAAAAATCAGTAAAATTGACAAGCATGTAGTTAGAATGACCAAAAGAAAAGAGAGAAAAAGAGAGGAGACTCAAATTACTAACGTCAACAGTGGACATCAGCACCAACATCACAGAAATAAAAAGAATTGCAAGGGAGCACTAAGAACAATTGTAATCCAACAGGTTAGATAACTTAGGTTAAATGGACCAAAAAAAAACTATTAAAACTAACTGGGGAAGAAATTGAAAAACTGAATACACTTATCATAAGTAAAGAGATTGCCTTAGTATTTTAAACACTTCCCACAAAGAGAAGCCCAGACCCAGATGGCTTCCCTGGGTCATCCCACCAAACATTTAAGGAACTGATAAACTTGCAGTGATTAATAAATAAGCCCTGGAGATACACTGTACAGTACGGTAAACACAGACAGCAATACTGCATTATAATCATAAACTTGCTTAGAAACTAAAATGAATTATTCCAACTACTAAAAATAAATAGTTATGTAATGTGATAGAGGTGCTAATTATCGCTACGATGGCAAGCATAACACGACACATAAATGTATAAAATTACATGTACACCTTAAATTTACACAATGTTGTATGTCATATTTCAATTAAAAATTTTTTAATAAAGAATTGATACAAATCCTTCACAAACTCTTCAAAAAAAAATAGAAGCAGAGGGAACAGTTCCCATTCCCCACTTATTGTATAAGACCAGTTCATCCTGATACTAAACCCTAAGTCATCACAAGGAAAAAAGATCAGTATCTCTTATGAACATGGACACAGAAATCCTCAACATATTGCTAGCAAACAGAATATAGGAATTTTTTTTAAAGATTATACATCTTGATCTGATGGGATTTATCCCAAAAATGCCAGGTTGGTACAACATATAAAAATAATCACTATAATATCTATATCTATAATAATAAAAAGGTAATATGCTAATTATACCAGCCGTCCTTCCTGACGAAGCCAGGGCCGGAGGGAAGCCAGCCCGAGTCCCGGGTGCCTTCCAGCTGCCGGAGGAGGGAAGCAGCCCGGGTCCCGGGTGCTGGAGGGAAGCCGGTGCCGGCAGCCAGGGGAAGGAAGGCCTACTCTTGCATGAATTTTCGTGCATTGGGCCTCTAGTATATATATAAAAGGCTAAGCGACTGTCTGACCGGTAGCTATGATGTGCAATGACCACCAGGGGGCAGATGCTCAACGCAGGAGCTGCCGAGCTGCAGTGACTAGGCAAATGTGGTTCTCGGGTGACACACACTGGAACCAGAGAGGAGGGAGCCCGATTCTGGGGTGCATCACCCAAGAACTGCCCTCTCGCAATCCAGAACCCCTCAGGGGATGTCAGAAAGCCGGTTTCGGTCCGATCCCCACAGGCCAGGCCGAGGGACCCCACCTGCAGGAGGGACCCCGCTCACTCCACAGACGCCCTCTGAGCTACAGTGCTGCCCCAGGTGCGGCCAGCAGGAAGGGACTGCAGGTGGGTGGCTCCAAGGCGTGTCCAGCCAGTCTCACCGAGTCCCACCCCACTGGCCACCTTCTAATTAACTTCCTTTCAATCTGCACGAATCCGTGCACTGAGGCACTGGTAGTATAATAATGGAATAAAGGACAAAAACCACATGGTCATCTCAACAGACACAGAAAAGCATTTAACAAACTTCAACATCCTTTCATGATAAAAACACTCAACAAACTCAGAACAGAAGGTGCTTACTTAACCTAATAAAAGGCATCTATGTGAAATCCATCATGCTCAATGGAAAAGGCTAAACGCCTTGTCACTAAGATCAGGAACAAGACAAGGGCATCCACCCAGATCACTTCTACAGGGTAACTAAGCAAGAAAGAGAAATAAAAAGCACTCAGATTGGAAAAGAAGAAGTAAAACTATTTGCAGATGATATGATCTTATATATATAGAAAATCCTCACGTATCCACTACAAAGCTCTGAGACCTAATAAATGATGTCATCAAAGCTGTAGGACACAAGATCAATATGCAAAAATCAACTTTATTTCTACAAAGTAGCAATGAACAGTCCAAAGTGAAGTGAAGAAAACAAATCCATTTACCATGGCATCAAAAATAATAAAATACTTAGAATAAATTTAACAAAAGAATTCCAGAAGTTGTGCTCTGATCATTTCTTTTTTTCTTTCTTTCCTTCCTTCTCTCTCTCTCTCACAGACCCACACACAGAAAGCAGCAGGCTTCTAGGAACTGCTTCATGCTTGAAAACAGTTATGAGCTGGTTAGTTTACGGGAGTCGTGGCCACACTTGGTAAAATGAATCACATGCATGCATGGTCAGGATGCCAACACAGATGACAGACATGACAGAGAGGGACAAAGCTGCCATGAGATGAAACACGGGAGTGAGCGGCCTCATGCAAGGGGGTACATACCCAGATATGACCGCCTGGGGGGCACTTTGACTTCCTCGTCCTTATTATCTGCAGCTACATTTAAAAAGAGAGAGAGAAACAGAAAGGAAGGAGAGACAAAACAGACGGGTTTAACGCAGATAAGCAGCTGTGTCTCTGGCCCTCTTTGCACTTCTCTCTTTTAAAACCGCTGGGACAGGAAAACTATAGATTTGGGTGTCTGTGCATCAGGAAATCTACCTTTGGGCTATTTTTCTCTGAACCTACCCTCCCTCTTTCCAAATAAGTGCTTGGAATAGGGGGAGGGAATTTGGGACCAAAAATGAAAAGTCGCCCATTCTCATTTGACTGCTAAGGTGGGAGGTGGCGTCTGCCGTCACCAGATTCTGCTTCTGCTCCCCAGACACTCAGCCGCGTGCAGGAGGCGGCCACACAGGCCCAGGATCACAGCGCCACCGAGAGGGCTGCCTGAGAAAGCCGTTTTCAGGAGACACTCCCCAAGAGCTGGTTCAACACATGCCAGGGAGAAGCAGGGAGGCACTGTTACATCCCACCAAGGCGACCAGCCCAGCAGCTCCTGACAGAGGGGTGATGATTCCTTCCAGTCGGAGGCACCCAGCTCCTGCCCCTCCCCTGCCAACAGCCCACCCCCCTCCCGAGACCTCCCGACTGTCACTGCCCGGGACAGCCCCCCAAGACCCTGGAAGACACCGCGGGGCAGAGAGGCAGCAAGTGGGGTCCCTGCAGGTGGGAGGTGGTGAGACAGAAGAGTAGGACTCCAGTGAGTCACTTGATCACAAAGCAGAGGTGGATCAAAGGTTGTGTCATCTGCCCCAGGCAGTGGACTCACCTAAAAATGGAAATGGGCAAGTGAACAGCTAAAAGCAAATACCAGCCCAGCTGCCAGGACTGCGGACAGCGGTGGAGGGTTTCACAGCACCACACAGGCTGCGGCCCCACGCCTCCCCTGCCTCCCTCCCCAGCACCGCCCCCTGGATCTTCTGGGCTCTGACGACCCAAGGTCACGTGGATTTTCTCAGCTTTTTCTTCTATTTTTTTTTTTTTATTTTTTTATTTAAACCAAGTTCACCATTGAAAGGGAGAGGGGAGGGTGAGGAGTGGGGTGGGTACAGGTGAGAACTCAACTTAGCTCCCGTGCAGTTCAGATGCAAACAGCCTTTTCCCTTCCCATGTCCAGGCCAGATCAGCCCAAGCTCAGCAGAGCTCTGCACGTGCTGAACAACAGGGCGCAGCAGGGCAGGACTGTGAGGGGCACGTGGGGGTTCAGGGTGGGAAGAGGCTCAGCCCACATCGGACCCCTCCCTGCGCAGCATCAAGCTACCTGAGGTTTCGTGGCTGGAAAGCGACATGATCAGATCTGTGTTTTAGAAAAACCTCTTTGTGTGGGACAGACGGAGGAGACAGACGTTAGAAATGTTTTCAACAATGCTGTCCTTCCACATATCTGCCCCGAACCCACTCCAGACCAGGCCCACAGTCTCCTCAGTCCTCACTGCTCCCCACCAGGAGGGGTGTCTGTCCATGTCCCCAATTGTCGGGGTGGGGGGGTGGCCACACCCCTGCAGAGGGAAGCTGTATGATTTCCAAGACTAGATCTTTAAAAAGACACAGTATCTACCCAGTTCTCTCCAACATGCCACTTGAAACCTGGGCCATATTGTGTGGACACCCAGGCTACGTGAAGAGGCCACGTGTGGGTGGTCCAGCAGAGAGCCCACTGAGGTCCCAGCTGACAGCCAGCACCCACCCAGACATGTGAGCAAGGAGTTAATAAGAGAGAGAGAGAGAGAGAGAGAGAGAGAGAGAGAATATGAATGAATGTCAGGGCCATCCCTGCCAAGCTCTGCCGAAATGCAGATTCCTGAAAACTCGGTTCCACTCATTCAACTTGTTGGCAAAATTCAACAAGTGGCTGGAGGACTGGGCTGCTGTCCTTGCTGTAAGTGAAAACAGTTCCCATTGAGAGCACGCCCCTCCCCCACTCTCACAGCCAGCAAGGGTCAAGTCCTCCGTCATCCATCTGTCCATCCATCTCCACCAGGTCTTCCCCTTTCCTCTCCTGTGACGCCATCGGGCCCAAATGACAATTCAGACAAGCCCCCTCGAGGCCCCACCTTAACCACATCTGCAAAGCCCTTTGCCACAGGAGGAGACACCTCCCCGGTTCCCATCTGCTCACCAGAGGGCACGTTTTACAGGTCAGACTCCAGCCCTACCCCTGGAAACTGAGATTCACTGTTTTAACTCAAGCCCAGTTAACAGAACAGAAATATCCCTTTTGGAAGAATCTACATAGAACACTGGAAATCAAGAGAAGTGATCAGATGGTCACCATCCCTCTCACTCATCAAGAAGGCTTCTAAGGGAGGTCCCCCGAGGCACAGCGTCCTGCTCACGGTGCCCGCTGCCCTCTCCTGCACCAACGTGAAGACCTGCTGGCAAAGCCCCAGGGAAGGGGGGAGCGTGCACAGCTGAGGCATGCCTGCATGTCAGCGAGGTCACACAAATGTCCAAGCTCAAAGGCCACATGGCCTGGAGGCACCCACACCTGCTACATCTGGCAGCCTACTATCACACGACTTCAAACAGGTCACAAACCTGCTCTCAGGTTTCAGAGCCAGAGGCAGAGGCGTACAGCCTGGGCACACACGGCCTCTCCTCCCACCTGTGTGAGGCCAGGCTGCCCTGAGATACCCCCACACTGCCCCTCTGCGGCCGGCCAGGAGGTCAGTGCCCACGGAAAGATGAGGTTCCAAGGGACACAGATCACAGAGAGAAGGGGCAGGAGCCGTGGGAGCAGAAAGCTCTTGTCCAAGAGAGATTTAGGGCCCAGTGCCTCTCCTCATAATGGCCCTGTTCACTGAGCCCTGCTTCCTAGGCAAGACCAGCTACACAGTCAGCTACACAGGTTCTGGGGTGACTTACCGAGTTACAACAGGGGGATGGGGACAGATCTGCAGAAGAGAGAATGGCATCAATGGGGAGAGAGCACAAAACATGCCAGCCTGGCCGGTGTGGTTCAGTGGTTGGACATCGACCTAGGAACCAGGAGGTCATGGTTCGACTCCCAGTCAGGGCACATGCCTGGGTTTTGGGCTCGATCCCCAGCAGGGGGTGTGCAGGAGGCAGCCGATCAATGATTCTCTCTCATCAGTGATGTTTCTCTCTCTCTCCCCCTCTCCCTTCCTCCCTGAAATCAATAAAAATACATTTTAAAAAACAAAACAAAATAGGGGCTACACCAGGGGAGGAACCACTCACAGGGAAAGACGACCACCAGGAACAAAAACACGAGCAAGACCCCAAGTCCACAGACATCCCACACAAAGTGAGAGCTGTCACACTTCTAGTGATTAGAAGAAAACCAGAAGTAAGGCTGATGTTCAAACAAGGCAGCCAGCCCAGAAGGCGCTTCCCCAAAGGAAAAGGCAGAAACAGGAAGAGAGTCTTCGCTCCGAGAGCCAAAGAGTCCAGCAGCGGTGTGGGCTGCGCCTGCAGTTCGTGCTGCCCAGGCACGTGCACCCGGGTGGTGATCCACCTGCATCACAAAATCCTGGCTGGGGGGCATTTTTAACAAGGCATGTGCAAAGACCCCAGTGCACTTGGCCGTGGGGAAGGTTTTACGTACAAGCCTCACAGAAAGTTGGAGATAAAACGGCCTTCTCACAAATGTCCTCCTGACCTGGTCCAGCCAGAGAGGAGCCCAGCTGACCGGGCCTCTGTCCGATCCAGGCTCCGCAGGCAGCGAGATCCCAGCGAAGAGTAAAACATCAGGACCAGGTAATAGCTCGCCCACCCTCGAGGGAAGAAACGATCATCTTGGATCGTTTCACATTATAACGTGAAAGTCACGTCCCATCCTGCAAACACCATCAGTGACAGTGTCATGCGGGGAGACAAGCCGCTGGGACGATGCTGAGCGGAAGGGGCTCTCATTCCACCTACAGACAAGTTTTGCTGTTTCGGTGGCTTTAAACCAAAGTTGCTGATCACCCACCTGAAAAGAAACGGCGTTTGACGTTGAGCTCGTTGGCCACGCGGACTTCGGTGCACAGCTTCAGCATCAGCAACATGGTGACGATCATGACGATGCTCTGCCAGAGCAGCGGGGACTCGAAATGCCGTCCAAACCTGTGGGTGAGACGCCGCGGCTCAGGAGGATGCCCACGCCAGGGGCCTGGTCCACGCTCCCCGCCCAGGACCACCAGGGCCGGACAGCCACCTCCCCTGCAGCTGCGAGTGCTGGGCTCCAGGCTCCATGGGGGAAGGAGCTGGGTGCA